TTAATAGCTACTTTAAAGCGGGCGTTGTCCTAACTAGCTATAGTAACCGTCTATACGGAAACATCGATCTTTATTCCCTCTAGAGTAATCGTATCTATACCGACTAGGATTTTTGCCTTTAGTTTAGGAACTAGGTAAACCTTACGAGTTATTCGTACTAGGGAGACTATACCGTCCGTCTTCGCTACTAAAACAAATATGTCTAATACGACGTATTCCCTAGAGCGATACGCGCCGGCAATGCCGCCGATTTCGATCGGTTCGTATAGCTTACGTACCTCTACGTCCGGGTAATAGCTTAAAACGAAGTCTTTTTCCGCAATAGTAAGTATATAGCCGGTATCTAGGCAGACCTATATAGATATACCGGATAGTAACAACCGAAGAGGGAAAGTTATATATTACTAATTCCGGAATGCGTAACCTTACTAAGCTAACGGAGGCGCCTTCGACTAAATTACTTCCGGGTTTGCCGATATATGTTCGATAATAGTAGAAGGCGTCGTCGCCTCTATATACTTCTTACGAATATACTAGTATAGAAGGTTGCCTAACTTAAATCGCCGCCTATAGACCTTATAAGCGTACTTCGTAGAGGCAAATAGTTAGATCGCCGCTAGTAGGGACGCTTTAGCCTATAGTACCGAGTTTAACGCTAATAGCGAGCGGTCGCCTACGCCCGCAAAGTAAGCTCCTAAGCCCGGATCGGAGTCGTATAGATCGGTAAAGTAGTTAGCGTCTTCTCCGGCGTTACTAAAATAGCTATAATTATCTACGTCGGTTCTTCTATTATCCTCCTAACTATCCTCCTAATAGCCGTCGTTAGCTTAGTTAGTATTATTTATAGTATCGCCTGCTTTCTTACTATTATCGGTAAAGTTAGCCTGCTTACGAGCTCGATCGTTGCGCTTTCTATTCTATCGATTAAATAGGCGCGAATCGACTCGCTTTAGGTCTTTTAGGAGGAAGGTAGGGCTACTACCTTTCGACGGTCCTTTACTATTTCCTGCTAGCGGCAGGCGATTCTACTAAGGGGCGTTAGGCAGGCGATTCTGCTAATAGGCGTTAGTAAGGCGTAGTAGGTTCAGTTAGTCGATATCGCGGTTCTAGTAGTTAGGGGATGCTCTTACTAGAGCGAAGCTCGCTAGAGTATAAGAGGCGTTCCCTTCGTATCGGTTCTACTAGGTAGCCTTACTAACGCGGCTATTGTTCCTAGTTGTAGCGTCTTAGCGACGATTAGACGAGGACGAAAGTATATGCTCCTAGATTAATACCTACTTCTCGTAGTACGTAACCTACTTATCGACCTTTATACGACAATTTAGCTCGTCTATATTTAATTAGAGGCGCGGGTCTATTCGACGGTAAGCTTCTAAGAGCCGGTTCGATTTCCGTACGCTAGCATACTTAGCGAGTCGTACCGTCTTAATAATAAAGTCCGTTACTAAATGCCCTAAAGCGATATCCTACCGGTCGTAGCGTTACTTATCGAGGAGATCTATCGCCTTTATTAAAGGGACCTTCTATTTCTTACTAAGATAACGTTCCTAGCGCTTTAGACCGTATCCGCCGCAGAGCTTTACTCGGTTGCGGCTAGAAAGGTAACTATAATACTAACTAAGCGCTACCCCTTAAAAGCAAAGGGAGAGGTTAAGACGAACTGTCTCTCGCCCTATAATATAAGCATAATCCTTAGCCGCTTCGATAAAAGCATATACCGAATAGTATATTATCTTGTTCCCGACTAAGGCGTAGTCTCCCTCGCCGTAATCTATAACGCTAAGTAGAGGATCGAAGAACCTAAGATACGCTAGATCGAACCGTAGCCGCTAGGGGCGGGCGTAGTGCCTCTAGATATAACTCGCTTTAGAAACTAGCGCTTCTGCGACGTAGTCCCGATAATACTAATAGTATCTACGACGGCGGGCGTGTCTATAATAACTAGCATCTAAGGAGCTGTCGTTATCCGACGAGGATTAATCGGAGTCGTCCGAATCCTTACTATTAGATAAAGATCTATCCTTACTCGGATTATCCCTATACCGACGGTGTTTCCGGCGTTGCTTCTTACCTTCCTATAGTAGACCCTATAAGTCTAATAGTAGAAAGGGCAAAGGCTAACCCTGCGTCGGCTTACGAGAAGAATTACCTAGATCGAAGTTACTAGGTAGCGGTAGTAGAGGATCGTTAGGAGGATTTCCGGGTAGATTGCTAGGAGGATTACTAGGCGGATTGCTAGGCGGATCGCCTAGCGCAAACCCGCCCCGACGTAAGCGGCTATACCTACGGGCATTTATATATACGTCTACCCTCTGCTAGTAATCGTATTAACCTAGGTTCGGCTAGGGCGGACTTAGCTTACGCGTAACTAATAGTAGTAAAATCGCCTATTCTATTAGAAAGTCTAATACGACTTCGTTAAGATAGACTCCTCTCTATCTAGCTAATTCGCGAAGATAATTACGACGCTAACGGTTTTGTTATATAGCGATATTCGCCCTATCGATCTCCTCGGTTATCTACGAGGCATCTACCGGGGTACGATATTAGAAACGACTACGCGGCTCGTTAGCCTACGGGTTAGCGAGGCTATCGTTTATTAGAGGCAATTGGCCGCGACCGATATCCTAGAATAGCGACGTCGATAGATCGGAAGGCCCGGTTAATAGTTCCTTAGGGGAAGTCTTAGGTAGAGGCCCCCTTAGCTTCTAAGGATTCTCGTCCGCCGGATATCGTAGCTTAAGTAGCCTCCGTAAGAAGACCGATTTAAGCGAGCTATTAGGCGAACCGGGACGCTATTCCGGCGGTACGGTTGTTTCTACTATAGTAATAGGCGAAACCGTAGGCTGCGGTAGAACTTAAGGCAGTCGGGCTAGTAGGCGCTGCTCTACTATAGGTAGTAGATAGATCTCCGGGTAGAATTAACGGTAATAGCGTAAATCGCGTACCGTTAGGAGCGCGGCTTTAAGCTCCTTAACCGATTTAGTTAGAATTCCTTTATCTACTACCTACTATCCTAGGAAGTTGTAACCGTTAAGGGCGTCTAGATAGAGTTCCTCGATTTTAGCCTATAGAGGCGGCGGATTTCCTACGAGCGGGTAATAATATAGAACGTATAAGGTAAGCAAGTCGATTCGGCTATACTTTGCCCTAAGCTAGGTCGCGAAGTTCTCGCTATAATCGACGTAGTTCTAAATATAGGAATAGATACGTAGGATATAGGGCTCTATATCTAGCAATCCGAGATTGTAGTACTAGGGTAGCGGTTAAACCGCTAGCTTAGCTAATTTCGAGGCTTCTACCGGAGTTAGAAGCGAGTCCGAAGGAGCTACGGTAAGCGGGTAAACTATTAGTAAGAGGGTAGAGGCGAGATAGTCTCTAAACGGAGGACAATAACGGAGAACCGACTAAAGGCGGAGGAGCGCAGCTTATCGGGTAGGTCCTCCTAGGGAAAGCGGCTACCCCTAGACCTAGGTATAGTAGGCAATTGCTACTAAAGGTAGAAACTACTACTACTGTCTCCTCGGGGTACTAATAGGATCGCTAATAAGGCGCTCGCGCGTCGGTAGTATATAGTGCGGAAGGGTAGTAAATCGAATAGGTACCGTCGTAACGGGTAGGAGTTAAATCGTAGTAATCGGCGGAAGATCGGTAGGACCCGTAGCTAATCGCGTCGATTCTCGTTATAGCCGTAACGACTAGGGTCGATTCGGGTAGAGGACTAGTAGTTAGTATAGAAGCTAACTAAGTGTTAAGCGAAGCTACTAAGTTACTAGGCATACGGTTATAGTACGAAGGTATCGTAACGGTTATACGGTACAAAAGTTAATATATTCTCTAAGGTGCCGCGAGGCAAGCTATCTATATAATAGTCCTACTATTAGTAGCAATAGCGACCGTAGCGGTCGATAGTAACCGCTGCCTGCTATCGTATATATAATAGTGTTATATCGTAATATATAGAGCTAAATCGATTTGTTTTATCGTATTATATACGTAATATTCTTGCTAAGATCGTACCTTAGATAGGATAGTAGAATGCCGGTTGTAGCGGAATGCTAGTCTAAAATATTAGGCTAAGCTTACCTACGAGGTACGAAAATTTTATTTCGTTAGAAATTGCGAGCTTTATAATTAAATTAGGGATTGCTATAGCTTTCTAAATGCGTAACGATCTACTTAATAACACTTTAATCAATCTCGTATACTACTAAACGACCTACTAAAACAATACTTTTAATTAAAAAGCTCTAAGGCTATTAGCCTATACTACTAGAAAACTCTATCGAAAATTTCTATAAGCCGACCGTCCTATTTTCGAAAAAATTCTACCGTAGTTCCTAGGATCTTAATTTATAATAGCGAAATCAAACAAACACTTTCTACTTACTTAGACGAAAGGAGAAAGAAAGATTGCAAAGGAAAAAAAAATTTTTCGAGGTATTAAAGGGCGCTTGGAATTAACTCCGAGGACAGATTTTTTTCGGGAGTTGTGGCCATGTCTAGACATGTGAGCGGCGCCCAGGTTTCGTGTATGTATGCTTGGAGGTAGAAGGATCCAGGTTGGGAAGTGTTGTGCGTGTGGCTCTGGCAGGAGATTAGTTCCAGCGATTGTTGTGCGAGAGCAAGCTTATGAGAAAGCAACCCGATTCGTAGGCTGTGATGGCAACGTTGCTTTTCACGTACGGTAGTCTTCCGCTTTCTTCACAACATCATCTGTCTGTGGCCATATCTTTTTACATAGCAAACGACCTCTATAGGAGCAGTCCTGGCTTGGCTTTGGAATTGAAAATTTGATCGATTCCTCGGAACATGATTCCAACCAAAAATTCTTCCAAAATTTTTTTTTTGCTTCCCTTTCTCTGATGAGCTTGTGTTGTCTCATATTCGTCGACAATGCTTGATATTTTGAAGTCGGGGCACCTCTCAAGATCAATGTTGACATTCGGAAGAGTATGGCAAGAAGCGTCGAGAATTCCGTCTCCCACAGCATGACCTTTTCAGTTTTCACCAGCCTCGCTATCAAAGACCAACTTCGTCCTGCCCAGTAATGCCGCCTGCAGACTCTGCATTGTCTCCGTAACCAGTGCTTCAGAGTAGAAAGCCACACCCAGCTCCTGGCTTGTATACCACGAAGCACGATCCATATTACCCGAACCAAACACAACAGCACTATTATCCACCACCGTAAGCTTCAAATGAGACTGCACCGGCTCGCTGCCCCCATCACTCGAATTCTCTCGTGGCACATAGTACTCGATATGAAGCCTGCCAAGCTTAATAAGTCCAGCCTCTTCATCCGGCCCTTTTTGCGCAAGCCGTTTATACCGCCTTACCAGCCACCTCATACAACGATCCGTCGTCGTCCCCGCCGTGACAAGTTGCTCCAAAATCATAAGCCTCTCACTCGTAACAACCCTAACCTCAACACCTCTCCTCAAAGCCCCTAGCAAAGCCTCCAAAACCGGAGCACACGTAACATTCGGAGTCTGAAGATAAACCTTCTCCTTGGCCGTCGCGAAAAATTCCAACAACTTCAAATTCAACGGCGTATCCGGAGGCGGCTCAAAACTCCGCCACGGAAGTAACGCAAATCTCGGATTCCGGTGATGTGGCGAAGGCAAAAATTCACACTCAACATCCCCTTCCTCCTCCTCCTCCTCCCTCCTATCCCCTTGCTGTTCCCTCTCCCATCCCCACATCTCCTCCCAAAACCCCACAAATCTGCCCACAACCCCTCCCCCACTCACCACAATCATCCCTTCCAACCAAACCTCCCAAGAAACATTACAACTCGGCAAGAACACCCGCTCCCGATCCACAACCACAAATTTCGAATGCCAAACACTAAAAGGGAAAAAAAACTTCCTCTGAATCCGAACATCCAAACCCTCACCCTCACCTCCTTCCAAAATTCCCAGTTTCCTCCTCCATTCCTCCCCCAAAGAAGAAGAAGAAATACTACAAGTATCAACCACCTTCTCCCAAACTCCCCCCGAAGACGAGAACCCGATACGAATTTTGATCTTCTTTCTCCCATTTGTTCCAGTTTCTCCTCGATTTTCTGCTACGATCCGACGGCCAAGTTTCCTCAAAGAGTTGTTGAAAGCTTCGAGAGTATGAGAAGGGACGAGGAAACAAGTCACAAAAAGGACTTCGTGTTCGGCTTTCTCGATGGCGGGGAGGATGAGGGATTCAAAGATCTGGTGGCCGGTGCCGAAGGTTATGGTGTGGATTTTGGCGTGGTCGGGCATTGTGATTATTTATTATGATTTATTGTTGCGTGGATGGGTTTGATGGGGATGGAGAGCGTAGGTGGAGTCTCGAGGTCGGGTTCGCGTCACGGGTAAGGCAGCCGTGCCTGCCCAATCAGATGCGAATGAAATGACCGTACACGCATACACGCTTACATAGGAAGGAACGAGGAGCCAAGGCTGTTTGGAGATAAATTTGAAAAAAATATATATATATATAATAAGAAAAGTGTCATTCATAATCTAATGCGATACGCTACATGTCGAAATGCTAAAGTTTTAGTCGTCCAGAGCGGACCAGCAATCTCGCTGTGATGGCAGTTATTAAACCCGCTCAAAACGCCGACCTATCCAACCCTGGGTAGTGGGATTTTTTTAAAAAAGCAAAGATCTTGTATTCATGCTGTAATTGTGTCATGCTCGGTCTCAGTCCAGCTGCTCTACCGTCTCGCGCAGCACGAGAGCAATCCGCTCTTAAACAAAAAGTACACGCAGCCAAGGAAACGGATCAAAGACAGCACAGCCGTGGCCCAAAGCAGCGCGCGGAAGAAGTTGGCGGTTCTGGTCGTGGCTCCGGACGAGAAGCCGAACTTGTCGAAATTGTCGGATGTGATGGCGACGGCAAGAAGGGCATTCGAGAAGATCCAGAAGGTGACCAGACGAGTGCGGAAAGATTTGTACGAGTCCTCGAGAGTCTTCTTGGTCTCTTCCTTCGGCGCGACGAAGGGTGTGAGGGCACGCTTGACAGTTACCTCGAATTGACTGTCAATATCTGCCTGGGGAAGGTCGACTTCTTCGATGACGGTGGCTTTGCCGTCGGCACCCTTTTGCGTGACAGCCGATGGCAGTGCCTCGGCTTTGTCACTTCCCTTGGTACCCCAGGACACATCGTGCCAGTTGGAGAAGGCGTAGACCATGAGAATGTTGATGTAACTTGTCATCATGAGCAGATATTGACCGAAAGAGGTGAACATGTGCCATGGGTCAAGGTAGAGGAAGGAGGCCACGAAGTACAGACCAAAGGTCGCCGCCAGCGCAATAATAATGATCCCAGCTCCCGTATCTGAGACGAAGGACTTGATGAAGTCGCCAGCGCTGTCGGTGTCGAACTGGGTAGGGCCGGAGAAGGCGTGAATCACCAGATAGAAGGAGTCCACGATGATGTAGAACTGGATGAGCGCGTAGACGGAGAAAGATACGACGTACGACCATCTGCTACCCTTCGGTCGATTGCCGAGAGCCAGGATGAATTGCAGGAGGAGGAATGCCAGGTAGATGTATTTCACGCAAGTGTTGAGGATCGGGGTGACTTCGTTGCCGAAGGGGAAAGCGCGTTGGTTGTTTGAGGAGCCAGGAGTACCGACAAGGTCAATAATGACGGCAGTAGTCAGATAATAGGAAGCTGGACACACCCGGTTAGCTGAGGCCCGAAACATATCGATCGTTGTTCCGGCTTACCCAAAGAGAACCAAGAGAGAGTGACTGTCGCAATGTTGTAGAGCAGCTGCACGTGGAAGAAGACCATTCGCAGGATGTTGTGACCGGAACGATACATGCGGCCGAAGTGCATCAGAGAATAGAGGGTGGCAGCGAAGGAACCGTTCAGCCAACGTCTACGCTGTCCGATGAATTCTGGAGCGCCTTCAGGCACATCAGTCTCACCCTTGGACGCTTTCACGTAGGTGAGATGCCACTTGCTGCCGGCCTTGGCGACCAGCTCGAAACACAGAATACGGTCCTCGGCCAAGAACATGTTCTTTTTGAAGATATTCATGCCCTCAATACCTTTGGGACCCAGCTGCTTCGATAGAGTGTGGTCACCGTGGAAGTACTGCTCCAGTGGCCGGCCCATGATGGCTCGGAAGCGGTATGCCGAGAAGGCACCTGGAAGCACGGAGACGTAACCGAATGACGATTCCAGAGGCTTGTCCAGGATGTTGGAGATCTTGTACTCAAAGTTTTGAATTGCGACCAAAGGGTTCAGAAGGTTTCGCCAACCTTTTCCGAGCAGTGCATGGATCTCGCCGCAAGCGCCACCAAGATCCTTGTCGTTGTAGAAAGCCTCCCAGAGGGCCAATAAAGCCTTGTGACCCGGCTTCGTTCCGGCGTCAAGAAGAATGCAGACTTCTGGGTTGAGAATGCGACCGAATGCGGTGAAGAGCCATCTGTGAGAGTTGATCTTCTTGCTGTTCTTCTGCTTCAAGCAGAACATCATCTGCACGGGCGGGAGAGTTGATGGACCGTCATCCAGAGGTCGAATCAGCTGCTGGTTTGCAGTGACTGACAGCTGGGTTGTATACTCGAAGATGTGTGCGACGGTCTCTTTGCCATCAATGTCCTTCTTCATGATACCATCCTGGTAGATACCGATGGTCGCAAGCACGTCAAGTGTACCCTTGTCGCAGGGGTCAATGCCGTCGAAGACCAGGCAGACGACGATCTTCTGCCATGCAGGGCCACCCTTGTTCCAAAATTCCGACTTTTTGATGTTGACAATGTCGCGGATATTTTGCATGACACCATGCAGGGTTCGCGAGGTCAGGGTCTTGTCTTCGTTGTAGTAGGTAATGGCAATGAGCAGCTCCGTGTGTCGATTGTACATGGCTGGTCGGAGATTATATCCATTCTTCAGGGTGAAGTCGTTGGGATCGCAGGTGGCTGCGGTGTAGCGCAGATGTGTGAATTCTTCGCTGCCGCTCTCCAGATCGTTCCGATACTTGGCCTGAACAGCATTTTGAATGGCCGAGGGCACGGGATAGTCGGCACTCAAGACAGCACCCTGCACAAGCTTGACCTTACGCGTCTGGTTTCGCTTCAGGCCGCCTGCAGCTGCTGGGCCACCGGGTTGCTGCCGCTGTCTCCATGCTTCTGTGCTGCCGGTCTCGCTTCTCGAGTAGGGACTCGCAGGGCGGTCTGGTGGAGCGTAGGCGGGATCGTCGAGCGTAGCAGCAGAGTAGTCTTGATAGGTGTGGTATGGCGGGGCATGACCAGCGTAGGACTCTTCCAGTTGGTAGCCTTTGTGGTCGTGGCCGCCGGGAGTGCCAGCGCGGCTATGGGGCTCGTCGAATGGACCCTGAAATGGACCGTGTGGGTTGCCGTGGAGCAGCGAACGCTCCTGCTCGTCGTCGCTGTCGCGGTGGGGCGGCTGGTGGTAGGGCTGGTGCGAAGTGTCAGTGGAATGTTTCTCCTTGGCAGTGTTCCCGTAACGTACATTGCTGGGGGGCATTTCGCCGTAGCCTCCAGCTCCTTGGTAGGCCATGATGTGGGGGTGTGCAGTTGGCACGGCAAAACGATTGTGGTGTCAGGCTGGTGGGCGGAGATGCAGGTGCAGAGTGGTGATGGTGATAATGCGGTGATGGCGGTGCACAAAGAAAAATGCGGCGGGGGTGAGGTTCGCTCGACAAAGGCGGAGTTTGGGCGAAACAACAATGACCATGCCACGGGGATGGTGGTAGCGATGGCGATGGCGATGGCGATGGCGATGGCGATGTTGGGGTGAAAAGAGCGAGCGGATTGCAGCAATGTGCCAGTGCCTGCTGAGAAATGTGAGCGAGCGAACCAGAGGCAGAGGCAGGGCGGTTCGACCCTTGAATCCCTGACGACGTACAGCCAAGACGCAGCGGACCAGTAGCGAGGGACTGACGCAAGCCTTCTCCCCGATCGCTGCGGCTAGTGTTTCGAGCGCACGTCACTGCAGCCAGAAGCCTCCGACTCACACTCAGAAGAATGTGGTGTGGCTGCGTATTATTATAAGGATGTCCGTGTACAATGAGAAGGGTCAAGTCGGTCCCTCCTAGCGTTGCTGCACACTGCACAGTCGTCTGCGTGTCTGCGTGTCTGCGTGTCTGCGTGTCTGCGTGTCTGCGTGTCTGCGTGTCTGCGTGTACAACTATCGCGTGTGCCATCCGCCCATCTATTTTCGGAGCTTCCATGCCAAGCTCGTGCTCGCCGATCGACTGCGCCACGACACCTTCACGCACATTATTGCACATTTCTCACGCACATTATCGCATCGCATCGCCTCGCCTCGCATCGCATCGCTGCGTTGAATGCTGCTGCTGTCCGCCACCTGCAATGCAACATGTTCATCAGCCTGCACCCCAACAAGCCTTTCCCGTCCCGTCCCGTCCCGTCCCGTCCCGTCCCGTCCCGTACCTGCCTCAGCTGAGTGAAGAGACTAATAAGAGTAATCCTGCATGAAGCGCACGTGAGGCGGCACTTCGGAAGGATGGACAGCTGTCTACTCTACTGCTCCCTCCACCTCCACCAGCAGTGCGCCCAGCATGAGCGAAGTGAACGGCTTCGTCGAGAGCAGCGACATCAGCAAGCTTGACGAGCTCGTCGTTGTCTGCTGCCATGCAATCTACATGGGCGCCGGCGCCGACGGGGACGAGCATCAGTGGATCCTCCAGCCCTTCTCCCGCTCCCAGCCCTCCATGCGCAAGCCTGGCGAGCATGAGACATTCACCGCACACATCGTTGCCGCTGCCATGGCCGTGCATAACAACCCATGCGCCCTGCTGGTCTTTTCTGGCGGCAAGACAACCAACCACCCCAGGTCAGAAGCCGAAAGCTATGCCGTCATTTTGAAACACATCGTCGACACCAACGCTGCCCTCTTCCCTGCCGGCCTCCGCTATGCCCTCGAAACATATGCCACCGACTCCTATCAAAATCTCCTGTTCTCCATAATCCGCTTCCGCCAGCTCACGGGCATATATCCCAAGAACATCACAGTCCTCACCCACGCCTTCAAAGAACGCCGCTTCTTGGAACTGCACGCTCCCGCAATCAAATGGCCCAGTCACCGTATCCGTGTGCAGGGAATCAACCCTCCCTTCACCCTGCACGAGCTCAACCTCACTCAGAAGGGAGAGCATGAGAGAGCCTATCTGGCCTTCAGCGCTGATCCATACGCTGTGCGGACGCCACTGATCACTAAACGCCTGGCACGAAACTGGAATGCCGATAAAGCACATGTCTTTCTTGGCTTCAGACTGGAATCCGAGGTGATGGCACTGCTAACCTGGCAGGGTGGCCTCAGTGGCTGGGAGACATTTCCGCGACGCCTGCCCTGGGAGGATCATACTTACACATGACATGATACGTGAATGCGACTCTACCCCAGTACCAACCGAATCAAAAATGCCCAAGTGGCACGACCGGGCTTTATGGTCGCCAAGCAAGGGCACCAAGTTCGTCCAAAGGCCACTCAACTCGTCAGCCCAAGACGCTTCAGCACTGCACCTTGGCCGGCCGAAAGCGCTCTCCCAGCGCCGTCCCAGGAGCTTCAAGGTGTTCACCTTCCTTCCCGAGACATCGCGACCATCTCTTCAGAGTGGGACGAGCGCCCTGCCCATGCCAAAGCCGAGCGAAGAGAGACCCGCAAGATTCTGGCCGACACCGTGGAACGGCTAGAGCTTCTGAGGAGACAACATGAATCTCAACCTTGCTGCGGAAAGCAATTCAAATGGCAGGCCCGGCAAACGGCTGCAGTTCCTCTTTGCGCTCTTTGCCTGCTCCGCGACACCTATCTACTTCTGCGCCTCTACATGCAAGGTACTGAGCTTAGCTGTAGACTAGCAGACAAAGCAGCCTTTTCTGGAGAAGGCAAAGTCTTCCGCTCCAGAAGCATTGTTACAGAACAGCGTCATACGTCGGTCGGTACTTCTGTCAGGCCAATTGATGGTCGCAACGGCAAGAACCGGAAGGTGCAGAGGAGTAAGGCTCCGCAATTGGTAAACCAGATTTTCTTAGAAGATAAACTTTCTCGCAACTGTCTACTGGGTGTCATATGCATTCGCGAAGCCGGTAGGAGACCACGATAACGACCGTGCCAAATTCCCCTGGTCGTTTTGACGTGTTTAGAAGTGCGCGCAGAGAATGCACAAAAGAGGCCAATAGAAAGAAAGACTCGGCGAGGCTTTGAAGCAGGGAGGGAGAAGGATGTGTCCGGATTTCCAGGGAACTACTTAGTACATGCAGAAGAAGAAAAAAGAAACCAATTTTTTTTTTTTTTTTTTTTTTTTTTTTTTGCATAAGAGCGGTAGGTAGGTAGGTACAAGGCCAATTAAAAAAAAATCCCAGAAAATTCATCTGTTCCATCAATCACCACCTCTCAATCTCCCCTTTCATACAAACCCTCCCATCACCACCCACAACCTCAACCGGCACCACCTCGTCCGCAATCGCTTGTCGGTCCATCGAAATTTTATACCGCTCCTCCACATACACGGGACTCGTCGCACGATACTCCAAACGTTTCGGAAAAAGAAAAAGAACCTCCCCCTCCTCCTCCTCCTCCTTCCCAACCGAATTTTGCGTCTTGCCATACTCATCCCTCCAAAAATCCAAACAACAAATCATATTCAAAGGTCCATGCACCACTAAATCTCGATGTCCTTCGACTTCCACGGCCCACGGCCGATCGTAGTGGATTCGGTGGGCGTTGAACGTCAAGGCGCTGATGCGGAACAACTCGGCGGAAGTTCGGTGGAAGGATTTGATGAGTTTTCCTTCCTTACTTTCCTCTACAGGAGGAGGAGGAGGAGGAGGGATTGCTTTGTTTTTCTTGTTGTTGTTGTTAGGATCCAACGCTTCCCGAAACACCCAATTCCTCCGATCCACCACACAGAGCTGTTCGCGCGAGTCGTAGAATTCTTTGAGCACGCCGACGACTAACATCGCTTCTCCGCTTTTCTTGATCGTTTTCGCTTCGCAGCTGAGGACTTTTGTGATTTCTGTGGCCGTGTCTCCGATTTTGAGGTAGGAGGGTGAAGTGGAGGGGGAGATGTTGGGGTCCGCTCCAGGCCAGGAGAGGGAGCCGCCCGCCCACATTCTTCGGGTGAAGGGGGGTTGCTGGATATGAGATTCATGAATTAATTTAAACCAAGTCGTCTTCTTTTTTTTTTTTGTATGACGATTTCATACGCACCGGATTGTAAGTCGTATCCGTCCCGTCAATCCCCAACTGACCCGGCATCTGCGTCGGGGTGAAATACGCATTATGATATCCTGCGGGCAAAGGTGTGCCCGCTTTCGGTTCCCGATCGATCAAAGATTCGGAAGAAGGAGATTTCGTCGGCCAAAGTTTGGGTCGATTCAATGTGAGAGAGAAGAGACGGGCTTGGTTGGCGTCGAGGAGTTGTTTTCGTGCGAAAGATTTTCCTTCTCCGAATTTGGAGAGGAATTCTTGGCCGATTTCCTGGGGGGTTTTTGGGGAGTGATGGGTGAGGGTTTGGTGGAAGGGACGGGTTTGGTGGTGGGGGTTTGTGCTGACGCGGCGGCTAAGGAGTCGTGTGGTAGGTCTTGTTGCTGCCATGGTTGGATGATGGCTGAATGAAGCGAAGCCTTGAGATCTTCTCTAGGCGATGGGACTCTGGGATCGCTGGAACAAGCAGATCTTGTAGGACGGATGGTTTCTTGCCCGGTGACTTTCCGTGATGGATCTCCGGTTCGATTCCCTTTTGATGGCTTATAGCTGGTCAACATGTGAGGGTCAAAATGTGAGGTCAACGTCTGAGAACACACAGCGAGGCCGGCGATGTAGTTGTGGCATTGAGCTAGCCGAGGATACTCCACGTCGTTGGTCAAACACCCCAGCAAAGCACAGGCCAAGAGGAAGTGAAGGCATTTCCGTCGTATTCCCGGCAGACTCTTTCTGCTCATCGAACACTGAAGTTCAACTCTTCGCAGGCTCAGCGACACAGACGACACGTTTTTATTTAATCGCCACGAACCCAGTGTCATGCTCAGTGCTGCACCTGCGCTTGATTCGCCGCAGGATGGCTTCTGTTTGTGCGGAACATAACGTTGGAGTGCTTGCATATGGTGCGCAATGAGGACGATGTTCAGCAGATCAGCGAGGCGCACGGATGGGCATTTAAATGTGAGGGCATCAAACCTGCAAACACCTTGACTCTGGCAGGCTTGATCGGCGCGGAATTTCTCGTTGTCTGGCGTACACATTCATGGTCGAAAAGCGGCATACCGCGGCGATTCGCCCTACATTTTCATCGCAAATCCGATCTCGATCAATTTTTCGGTCGGCCCCTTCAGGTTCACCATCTTGTTCCTGGTATTCTCCCGCGCAAACAGGAAGATCTTGAGGAGGACAAGACGCCACCAACTTGTCTAGGGGGCGGCGAGCTCCAGCTCTATGTACAATACTCGGTGCTCAACGAGGCTGAGCGGAATGGACTCGCCATTCGCATCGACAGTGGCTACAGAATCGGAAGTGTAGGCTGGCACTTTCTCATCAATGTTACCGATGGCATGACCCCGGCATCCGTCTTCGTTCCCTAAAATTCGATAAAATTGTTGAGAAAGAATATTCATTGACTACTAAAAATACTAGAACTACAGACTCCTCGACGCCTTGGAAAAAACTGTATCTAGGAAACTACCGTACACAAACAAATCTCGCGTCGATTCTTTGCGCCACACGCGTTCCGAGACGACACGACCTCTCGAACAGCTCCCCTCTCCCCGAATCTCCTTCAAACCATACTGGTGAATCTCCCCATCAGCTCTTCCATTACAAAGAGACATACGAAACCTTCCTGTCCGGTCTCTGGTAGTCCTGGGGAGTAAACATAAGAACCTCACTAGGTCCCCAATCAAGATCCTCAGAGTCCTCCTCAGGCTCATCCTCATCGTACAACAAATCAAGACCAGGCTCAACACTCCCCCTACCAATAAACCTCTCATCCACCGCTCCGACACTAGGCCACGACGGATCGCGCCGAGACTCAGAGGAAAAGCTCTCCTCCAGCGCTTCAACACTACCCCACAACGGAGCGCGCTGAGCCGCAAAATCAATCCCCCAACCATCATCCCCCGTCTCATCTCGCATATGCCCCAACGCATCAGAAACCTTCCGCCTCCACGTCTCAGCCGAGATGGGTTTCCGTCCCTGCGGCCAGGATCCGGGATATTTTCTCATGTCCAGCAAAAGATGCACGGCGAGGTCGAGGTGCTGCTCTGCAATCATGGAAAAGACTTGGTGGTGAGATCCTTCATGGAAGAATTTGACTTGCAGCCGAGAGAGTTCCTGGCAGAGTTCTAAGGCTTTCAGCTCCATTTGCATGCGAGGGGAAGAGGCTCCGTGGTTTCTGGAGGGGGAGAAGGGGGGTCGGGGTGAGGATAGGACCCATTCGTTGCCTTCTTCGTGGCAGCTACTACTGTCGTCTTCATCGCTGAAGAAGTTTTCTCTTGTCTTGCGTCCTAGACCTGGAGAGGATTTGGGACGCACGCCGTTGTAAATTCCTTTGTTGTTGACGAGTCTGCTGTTCCCGCTGTATCGTCGATTGCCTTTGGGGGCTTTATAGGATGTTGGGGAACGGGAGATGTCTGGCAGAGAGATCGAGTCGTTGTCGTCAGAGTACTCGGTTTCAGTGTTGTCCCAGGACACTCTTTTCTTTTGTTCTGCCTTGGAAGAGCTGGATTGATTCTTCTTCTTCTTCGCTGGCTTCGCTGGCTTTTTCGATTTCTTGATCTTGCTGGGTGCAGGCTTCTTAGGGCTCTTGAGCGACTTCTTGCCGGCCATGGAACGAGTGCGTGCCATCTTGGTTCGGTAACGAGCAAGCAACCCTTGATCAGCGCGTGAGAAGTGCTGGAGTTTGAACAGTCTCGCAGCAAGATCGAACGAAAACAATTTCTTTGTTCTGTCGTCGCTAATTACCGCATCCGGAATGGAATGTAAAGATTACAACTCGACGAGCGATCCCGGAACAAAAAAAAAACAGAACACGCGGACAAAGCGAACTGCTGTGCTGCTCTACACATCTGCGAATCCGTCGTGGAAGTGTATGTCAGAACCCTCCCAGGAGGCAGGAATGAATGGAGACAGCAAAAAACAAATTCCCCTTCACGAAGCGCGCCCCGTTCATCCCTCCTCCCTCCCCCCTCTCGCCGCCCTCTCCCTCTCCTCCAACATCAGGTAAAACTGCCTCACATATAAATTCTTAGAGAAAGAACCCGAGAATTTCGGCGGTGGGGAAGCCACATTTAGTGGCCAAGGATCATCAATGACACCAGCCTTGACGCCCGTAGCGATAAGTCTTTCAATAGAGGGATGTTTTCGTCGCTTTTCAAAAGGTTTCGGCGGAGGAGTTCTGACGATCGAAGGTTTCGTTGTTGTTGCTGTTGTTGTTGTTCTTGTGTATCCGTATCGATGTGGCGGGATTGATTTACGACCGGAACGAGTTTCGTAGGCCATGTGTGCGTGCGGTGAAAGTATAGTAAGGAGCGTGGAAGTCTGAAAGTGGAAAGGTGGATTGAATTCATTCTATAACAAAGCCATCAATCTCCCTAGGTTCAGGACTTGCCTCTCTTCTTTTTCGTGGAAATTGGCGAAGGAGTGGCCTTGACTGATGTCCTCTTCGACTTCCCCAGGCTCGCTGGCCCTCGAAAACCACTGCCACTAAATCTCGGGACCGTGTCACGCTTGGATTTTGATGTCAAAGCTCTGCGTCGCTTGGTCGTTTTCTTCTTTGCCTTTGGCGGTGATCTTGGTTCTGGTTGTCCTGGCTCAAAGCGTTCTGGAGGCTTGGAAATTCGGCCGGATTTGAGCTTGGTCGGCATGATGGAGTGAGTGTTCGCCTTTTAGTAATCAGTTGGATTTGTGTTGTGTTGAGATCATGAGGCATGTGGCGTATCTATTGATTTGTGAATGTGCGTTGAGCATGCTTTGGTCGGCTCTTTGTTGGTCCATGTCGCCGGATGCGGTTGGAGCTTCAGCAGTAGGAAGGCGGAGTGCGCGAGATGATGGTGAGAGGAATAGTGGTAAAGCCTGAATCGCTACCAGATGGCGTCTTGCCTGGATTGAAGAGTAGCATACTTCTCGAACAGTTCACCATCTTCGGCACAATCGTTTCCAATCCCACCAGAAATAGCAGTATCCAGCAGGCTTGAGGTGTAGCACATTAGCATTACATCATCTACATTGATCAATCTCAGGTCGTGTGCACTATCTGTTATCATGCTACTGTATCCAAACGAATGATCTCGGGTATCTCTGCAATCAAATCAGCACAAAACAAGAACGCTTCGCTTGCAGTTTGTCAAACTCAATGCAGTCCGTATCCCACCTCAACAGCACTTCTCACCTCCGCCGCCACTACTGCCAGGCCTACGAAGCTTGAAGACATCCCCCCAGCCGCTCTTGTTCCTCCTTCGTCTTGTGCTTCCACCATATCCATCACTTGTCAAGCCGCCACTCTTGATGCTACTACTACCTCCATCATCGTAGCGATAGAAGTCCGCGTCACCATACTGGATCCCACTCATAGGATCATCAGGATCAATTTCCCCAAGCTCAATCTTCGTCAAGATAATCCTTGCCAGCTTGTTAAACACTTCCTCCACATTGTCTCCAGAAAGCGCCGAAACCTCCACAGCTGCAGGTATCCGATGCTGACTCGCCCAATTCGCAGCCGTAGACTGACTCACAGCCCTTCCATCACTCGAAACCGTCGCCCTCTGCTGCGTCCCAAGCCCAGGATTACTATGCTGCCCCACCGTCCCCGTCCCCGTCCTTGTACTCGTGATCGAACTCCCAAAAACATCCTCATCCAAGGACGACTGCTGCTGTTGCTCAGCGACCGCCAACTCCGGCTCCTCCACCAAATCCGCCTTATTCCCCGCCAAAACCACCGTCAACTGCGGACTCCCCAACGACCTCGCATCATGTAAAAAAGTATTCAAATCCGCAAAACTCCTCTGATTGGTAACATCATAAACCAAAATCGCGCCCGCCGCCCCACGATAATAACTCCGACTCACACTCCGAAATCTCTCCGTCCCCGCCGTATCCCAGAGTTGCAATTTAATCCTCTTCCTCCTCGTCCCTACTTCACCCCCTCCCCGACCTCTTCTCGACGTGATGGTGGTGGTGGTGTGATCTCCGATTTTCACGATGCGGCTCGCGAATTCTACGCCGATGGTTTGGGAGGAGAGGACGCGCCATTCGTTTTTCACGAAGCGGTGGAGGAGACAGGATTTTCCGCAGCCCGAGGGGCCTAGGAGGATGATTTTTGCGAGGTAGTCGTACATGGAGCCCATTTCTTGGGGGCCATGGTAGGGTGAGGGAGCGGCATCGCGGCCGGATGTGGTGGTTGTGTTGGAAGTTGTGGAAGCCGCTCGTTTTCGAGGCATCGTTGCAGCTTTTTCTAGGTCGTCGGACGGTCTTGTTGGTGCTGTTTCCCGGGAAATGTGGCTAAGCTTTTGTGAGTGCAGTTTCTAGATCTGCGGCATCCTAGGAGTTCTGTTCTGTATCCACATCATGTGATGCAGCGCCAGTCTGATAAGCAAGAGATAGGACGGGCGTGATATACTCGATGAGCTTGGTCGCGACTGCTCACTGCTGCGCGTCACTCGGGGCTTGGCATCAGCTCGGACTCGAATGTCAGCTGATTCCAGTGAAGCGGGATGCCAAGAAAACCTATAGAACACGTAGAGCATAGATTGTACCTCTAAACGTACCTGCTTCTCTCGATATCAATCGCAATCGATCGCATGCGCGAGGCTCTTGGGCACAAAGAAACCTAGGCTTTTGCTCAGGCGCGAAATTGTTTGCTTCGAAATGAGTATTCTGCAATATAGACTCCTTTCCATGCCATTGATATGCGCTTCCGATGCTAGATGCGTGCCGCCGGTGCTGGGTACTCCGAACCAATCCATCACAATCCAAACTCCTTCGCTGAAATGCAATTCTATTGTATATGTGCCGTCATCCTTCATAATATCGCTGGGTCTGGCAGATCTAGTCTTGGCAATTGTGCCTCCGTCTTCATTCCCATAGTCATGCCATCTCTCGGTGATGGATAACTCTTCGATGAAATGATCGAGAGCTTTCTAGTGAGGCGTTGAATGGCCTCTGGACTGCCTGGCTCGTCCTCGATAGGAATGTTTACCCACTTGTACACGTCGCCATCCTTGGCTAGGATGTCTGGGTCGTTCTCGCCAGCAATTTCAATGCCTGATTCGCGAAGCACTTGTGCCATGGCACGGTTGTTGAGTGCCATGATCATTTCGGGTTCTTCAGCTTTGGTCACTTTTTTCGCGATCCAAGGGAAAAGCAGGCCGAAGTCTGATTGATTGAAGTGCTGGCTCTGTTTAACGAAGAAAGTATGCGGGCCTTCGGTCTTGACTGGCTTATCGTTGTTGGTGTCAACTGCAAGCAAGTCGGCTGCTGCAACTGCACCTCTCAAATGTGACGACGCTGCCTGCGATGGCGTCGTAAGGCCACTAGCCCTACTACGCTGTCGCGTCAAAGACCGTATTGGACTTCTTGAGACCTCGGACGCATATCCAGAGTCCCGAGATGGTGATGGGTCTCGTAGTCGCGCCCAGTCAGGAAGCAAGTGACCACGTTCTCGCGTAAGTCTTGGTGCGGTCGACGGCCTTCTTGAAAGCGTCGGTGGAGCAACGATGTGCTTGTTGATGCTGGTGTTGTCGTCCCAATTGTAAAATGCTTCGGAAAGCACGGAAAGCACATTCGAACCCGCTGGACCTCCCAGTGCATATGATGGAAGCGGCTTGTCCCAAAGCCAAGCCTGATCGGGCGACTTCAGCGGCAGACACCACATGTCCAACAGCAGCATCGGAGATTCCGGCATGATCTGATGAGCAATCGCAGCATCTGCGTTAGGTGCGATGATGGGTTTGTCCGCATTAAAAGGCCTCTCTTGGGCGTAGAAAATGCTCTTGAGTAGCTGAACAGTAGTCGCTGCTCCGAACGAGTGTCCAGCCCAAGTCACCTTCCCTGCTCGGTGAATGTCCAGCATTCCATCAAACTGATCCAAGACTTCTACGCGCTCTTTGCGCTTCGTGCTCGCATTGATGTCCAGGTTCTCAAGTCTCTGACCCGCATCGATCTTCACAAGCGCCTCGTATGCTGTGCTGATCTCCCACGTCCTGATGCGTAATTGTCTGTCTCTTGCCTCGTATACTCCCTGGCTGGGCTCATGGCTAATCTTGGTAGGATTCACAATGTGTGCCTCGCTGCTCGCCGTCTCTCTCACGTACTGTATGGGACTGCTTCCATCTCTGTGATCCAGTGCAATGACAATCATTCCCTGGCTGGCCAAATCTCCACACACGTAGCTGTACGCGTTCCTGCTGCCGGCCAGGCCATGGCTGAAGACTGTCACAGGCCACCTTTCACTACTCGTCGGAGGATCTAGCAGCTTCGCGTTTCGGTGAGCAGGGAGCGTGATCCAATATAGTTGTTGTGGCATGAAGGATATGAGGTTGGCAACTCGAGGATTCTTTACTCCTATGAAACTAGCAAATGCGCGAATGGTTGCGCGCTGCGGCTGCGGAATCCATCGGACTGGGCGAGAGGTCTCGCCATCCCTCGGCTTTTCGCAAGGATAGAAGATGCGAAATGATATGGTTGGCGCTGCGCCTTCAGGCGCTTCCGAAGGCGAGGGAAGGTCTGCGACAGGTATCTCAACGTCGACAGTGCCTACTTCGTACGGGCCATGGTAGCTGGGGAATGAGACAATGGGATTCCACCCCGAGAGGATGGAACTCATAATGTCGCTGCACTCTCGATGCTATCGTGGCGACTCGGGGCTGCCTTCTGACGGAGCCAGGCTGCGATTGTGTTCCCGCCTCTGCCTGCAGGTGCGCGGGAATTTTCGTGGATATGATGCTGGCGGGTTAAGCTTTCAGGAGTTCTTAGCCCGTGCGGCGTCAGCGTTTCGGATCGATCGGTGATGGTCAGTGAGCGCGGAGTGCGAAGAGGCGTGGGAAGAATTGTAGAATATTAGGTATCAAGCGGAAAGGAAACAAGGGAGTGAATAGGGTCGACTGCAGTGTGGACAAGGAACGAGAATAATGATGTCGTGTGCCGCTGTTCCCAAATCGACGCTACGAGGGATGATGCACGGGAAGAATTGAGTGTGGCTAACCACATTCAGAAGGGCGAGCCTCGACCGGCTGTGAAGGCGAAGGCGAAGGCGACTTTGTTTGTCTCCATCTGACACTCATCGATGAACATTGGTTTATCATGGGGCAAAGGTGGGTACTCAGCCTGATCTACCTATTCACGCACAGCCTGTTCTCAGAATGTTGCCTGGTGGTCCGTGTCTCGTACTTACATGTGATGCACATTCGATCTCAGCGTCGCCCACTTCCAGCTTTGCGGCACAGCCCCGATGCTGATTCTTGCTCTGCTTCGCCTCACATCTCTCGCCACTTCCATTGTCTCCGGCACTTACTGTGCAGGGCCAAGCATGGCATGGTATACTGAGTCCGACACACAAACACGCTCCGTCGCACCATTCTCCGATTTGCGCGTTTCATCTGTGACTTCCGTGGCCTGACTTTCACTTGACTCTGCCCAGCACGTTTCGACGATCGCGGGATGCGAGCACAACAGGCAGCCGTTTGCTCCTCCCTCTGATTATTCCATATCTTTGCCCTACTGCGGAGCCTTGCACATGGAGAACAGACGTCTGTGTAGTCGCATGCCATTGACAGAAGGATCAAACCTGGCTTTCGCTTGGCTGCATGCGTGGTTCGGCAGTCGACTTGATGACCACCGGACTCTCTCCCATTGGATCACACACCGGCGAGAGCTCCTCACACACACATCAGAAAACCTGCCTTAAATTTCCATTGCAAGCTGAGCCCCCCCTCTGCAGGAAGCTATAGTGGTGCTGCGGCAGGGATTTTGACTCTGAGCACACTCGAATAATCTACTTGCCGCCTTGCCATATCCCCCTACAGGTCAATTTGTACGGCACGGCAGCAGCATGAGCATTGAGCATTACTTGATGACCTGCCGACCTTTCGGGCCGTGCCTACCAGATGGCATATCCTTGCTGCGAGCGCGCTTCTTCGGTGCAGAGTTCCAATAATTTGGTTTCACTTCACAGTCTGATTATGGCCAATAGCATCAAAGCACTTGACCACGAATGTACTCCTGATCTGATGAACAGGATCGTCTGTTCCGGTCTTGAAATCAGGCCATGATCCATCTGGTACAAGTTACCCTGCATAGCTTACGCGCAAGACTTCGAGAACCCAAAAACCTGGTTGAGAGACAAGTCTTAAACCCTGTCTGGATGTGGACGTGAAATGTTAAATCGGGCTCACCTGCAGCCCTATATATCCCCATGAAGTCAGCGATACCTTCTGCAGTCTCTGACGTCTCTCCTCCCTTTCCGCCGACATGGCTGGCACTTAGACACTTGCTTACCTCGACAGCTTTCTCCATCAAGTGCCCAGTACTTGGACCTAGAATTAAGGCGCATCAGCTTGCACAAACTCTATGGACTTGCGACGCTCGACGATGGTACAATTTGGCCTTCATTACTTCGGAAGCTGAGACCAGTCCTCAACCGGCACAGACCAGCGCATTCAATACCACAACGCCATCTGTTCTTCTTTGAACACATCCAGAAGTCTCCGAAATAGCCAATAATGGCAGGTCACGACATGTCTCTCAATATACGAGTATCGCTTCTCGCCGCGCAGGTCCTGGAGTACTGGGGCGCCTATCAGGCCAAGCTCGCGAAGAGGAAAGAGCACAAGCTGGCTGTATTCGTGCCATCGGTCCAGGGCAATGTGGTATCGCTGACAGATTCGCAGAAACAGAAGCCGGTAAGGAGTCCTCCGTCTAGGACCTCGATAGACAAATTTATCACTAAACTTGCGCGTTAGACACCGAAGCGTAAGGCTTCCCTCCCTTGGCAAGAAAAAGCTGCAGCTACTTGCTTGACACAAAATCTCAATGTCCTTTCGCAGAGGTCCGCGTTCACCGAGCTGTGGTCTTTGATACCTGCTGATGTGTTGCAGTCATGAAACTCCGCAGTGGTCTCCTGATGAAACGCCTGACTGGGCTTTGGCTGGCGAAGACTCCCCGAGATGCAGCTTTGACTCGCATGTTTCGTTCGAGATCGAGACGCCCGCCGACTATGTTCACCTAAGCGATTTGATGGCAGCTCGACAGCTTGCCAGCAATGACAGTGCAAGCGACAGCGGGAGCTCGGCAAGCCGCTTGTCATGACAATGTCGGAAATCGTCGGGCGCTGCAGATGTCCTTCTCTTTTCCGGATACAAAGGCGAGCTGTCGTGATGGCATTGGGCACACTCGAATTTGCAAGGTCGAAATGGAGGTCACTACGCTATGACTTGAAGGCTTTGGAGGTTGATTTTTTTTCGCACTATACCAAGCACTCTGATACTCCTGTAACAGTTTAATGCCATAAATACCAAGGCAGTCCAAGACTGCACAAGCCATGTCTTATCGCTCTCGCTCCATTATGACGACATTTCAGCAACAGTTGGAGCTGCAATAAAAACCCTGGTTTATTATAGTTGCCCGTGGGCAGGCTGGGCAGCCAAGACCTCGGAGCAAAGTCAACGCGAACGCGCGCTACCGACCTCTCCTCACGCATTCTACTCCAATATCCTCAACCCTCTTCGACATCTCTCGGACATGGAAGAGATCACGCAGCTTGCTCACTCCATCTTTCAAGCCCTTGCCGATCATGCCGATGATTAAATGTCGCCATGAGCGCCCCACGGATGTTCTCCGCTTCAGATTCGGCGTGTCGTCGGTGACACTCCACAGGAAAGATTTGGTATGGAGCCGAATGGATGGAGAGACACAGTTTGCACCTTGCTGAGTGCATGGCCACATGGATCATCACGTTACATCGTCGGGCAGTGGGCTTTTCTCGATCCACCAGACGGAGCGCGATTTCCTGTTCCTGTCACTCCGACAACGTGATGCGACCTCCTCTACTTCCCACGCGACGTGAAGAAACAACCATGACGACAGCTCGACGGGCCGGGTGAAAAGTTCGGCCAAGTATAAGATGAGGGATTTCCCGGGAATATAGAGCTTTCTTTGGTGGTAGGAGAGTTTCTACTTGCTTTCGTGGCTGTGTGCTCTTTTCAAGATGAAGTCCTTCAGTGCGGCTGTCCTGGCTGTTGCTGGGTCTGTGGCAGCTTACGATTACTCGCAGCTTGCTGCCAGCAAGAACAATTACGGAGCTCCTGTAAGTGGACCACAGCGTGGCATCAGGAGAATCAGCATCTGAGTGCCTCAACTTCAGGACCCAAATACCACCTACCCAGAATACGTCTCCGACAACCCTGTAGTCGTGGCGGGTAGCAATGACTACCAGACCTCTCCACCAAAATACCCATCGCCTTGGACTGAGGGCTTGGGCGACTGGGCTGAGGCGTACGAAGAGGCGAAGGCATTTGTTTCTCAGTTGACTCTGGCAGAGAAAGTCAACCTCACAACTGGAACTGGCTGGCAACTTGAGAAGTGTGTGGGAAACACCGGTGGTATTCCACGTCTCAATTTCCGCGGACTCTGTCTGCAGGATAGTCCAGTCGGGATCCGCATGACAGACTTCAATTCTGTATTTCCCGCTGGCGTTAATGTCGCCGCGACCTGGGATAGGAAGCTGGCATACGCACGCGGAAAGGCTATGGGCGAGGAGTTTGCTGGCAAAGGCATTGATGTTCTGCTTGGAGTGAGTGCAAGCTTCGGAGGCAATATAACTAGAAAAGCTGACACTTCAACAGCCAGTCGCCGGTCCTCTTGGTCGTGTCCCAGAAGGCGGCCGCAATTGGGAAGGATTTTCCGCTGACCCAGTCCTTACTGGACAACTCTTCGCAGAGACGATCAAAGGTATTCAATCCGAAGGTGTCATTGCCACTGCAAAGCACTACATCATGAACGAACAAGACCATTTCCGTCTTGTTCCCGACTCCGCCGCCTTCGGTTTCAACATCTCTGAGCCCTTTTCAGCCAACATCGATGATGAAACTCTGCACGAGCTGTACCTCTGGCCTTTCGCTGACGGTGTCCGTGCCGGTGTCGGATCTATCATGTGCTCATACAATCAGGTCAACGATAGCCAGGCCTGCCAGAACAGTTATGTGCTCAACTATCTGCTGAAAGGCGAGCTTGGTTTCCAGGTGGGCGAAAACAACACTTAGCTATATTGACATGCTGCTGACTTCAACGCAGGGTTTTGTGATGTCGGACTGGCTCGGCACCCACTCGGGAGTCGCATCTGTCCTTGCAGGTCTTGACATGAGTATGCCTGGAGAAGCCACTGCGTACAATTCTCTCGACTCGTTCTACGGCACCAATCTGACCGTAGCTGTGCTCAACGGCACTATCCCAGCTTGGCGCATTGATGACATGGCCACTCGAGTCCTCTCTGCGTTCTTCTACGCCGGTCTGCAGGTCGAGCGCGAGCCGGAAAACTTCCAGTCCTGGACCACCGACACCTACGGATATCAGCACTATTACACAGGTCAGGGTGGTATTGTCCAGGTCAATCAACACGTCAACGTGCAAGGTGACCATGCTGCTCTCATTCGCCAGCTCGGAGCTGAGAGCGTCGTCCTGCTCAAGAACAACAACAGTGCCCTTCCACTCAAGGGCGACGAGCCGTTGACTGCCGTCTTTGGTAACGATGCCGGTCCAAACATTGATGGACCAAACGCCTGCTCCGACCGTGGTTGTGACAACGGTACTTTGGGAATGGCATGGGGTTCAGGCTCTGCAGAGTTCCCGTACCTTATCACTCCAGATACTGCAATCCAGAACGAGGTTCGCTCCAGGAACGGCTCTTATGAATCCAGCCTCAACAACTGGAATCTTGACCCCGCCGGCGAACTCGCTCGTCGTGCCAATGTCTCCATCGTGTTCGCTAACAGCGACTCCGGAGAATGGTATCTCGAAGTCGATGGCAACCTCGGCGATCGCAACAACTTAACTTTCTGGCAGAATGCTGATGCTGCTGTCGAGCGGGTCGCGGGCAACTGCAGCAACACCGTCCTCGTTGTGCACTCTGTCGGCCCAGTGCTGCTTGAGAAGTATAAGAAGCACCCTAACATCACTGCAATTCTCTGGGCCGGTGTGCCCGGTCAGGAAAGCGGTAAGTCAGCGAATCTGCCATCACAGCAAGCAACGACGACTGACATGTATCACCAGGTAATGCCATTGCCGACGTCTTGTACGGTCGTGTCAACCCAGGAGGAAAGCTTCCATTCACCGTCGGCAAATCCCGAAAGGACTATGGTGCCGACATCCTCTACACTCCAAACGCTCCTGTGCCTCAGATCAACTTCAAAGAGGGCACCTTCATCGACTACCGTGCATTTGATGCCCACAACGTAACCCCAACATACGAGTTCGGTTTCGGTCTGTCGTACACGACCTTCACCTACAGCGATCTGAAGATCACAAAGAGCAACGCTTCCGCCTACGAGTCTTTCAGTGGCTACACTATTGAGGCCCCGACTCTTGGCAACTTCAGCAAGAACCCATCAGACTACCTCTTCCCAGCCAACTTCTCCCGCGTCAGCCTCTACCACTACCCTTGGCTCAACAGCACCAACTTCACTCTCGCGACCGCCGACCCACATTATGGTGTTGACAGCGACAGCTTTATCCCAGAAGGCGCCCGTGATAGCTCTGCTCAGCCTGTGCCAAAGGCAGGTGGCGCTCCAGGCGGAAACCCACGTCTCTATGATGTCGCCTACATTGTCGAGGCCACTATCACCAACACTGGCGACGTCGCCGGTTACGAGGTCCCACAGCTGTACATTAATCGTGGAGGCCCTTACGACCCTGTGCGTGAGCTCAGAGGCTTCGAGAGACTATGGATCGAGGCTGGCGAGAGCAAGACTTTCACCGTGGAATTGACTACTCGTGATATCTCCTCTTGGAGCGTGGTCGAGCAGGACTGGTATGTGAGAAACTCTGCCAAGAAGGTCTGGGTTGGATCTTCGAGTAGGAGTTTGCCACTGGAAGGCGTGCTTGGAGAGGCTGTGAAGAGCTATTAGGTCAGATAACCTAGACCTTAGACCTTGCATGTACAACCGAAGGATGAGTGAAACAAATACCTTCTGTATCACTATAGTGTCCAAGGCTCTGGGATGGGCCCCTTTGTGCTTCGTCGCGACACATGAGCATGAAACCCTATAGACCTAAACTGGTCCTACATGCTCGTCACCTCCAGACGCCCACACAACAAGACCTGCCCTACTTCTGAACTATCAGCTGCCAAACCAATATTTGTGCCCTCAGCATCTCAAACACAGTAGCAGTCAGTCCATTATAACAAGACAAAAGGCGATTACCCGGCATTCACACCACCACACATATTAAAGTCGGTCTCGTTTTCGGTGGTGTAAATCTATCCAGACCTCACTCACTCATAACGTTCAGTTGCCCCCCTCCTCATACTCTCTACTCCGATCCGGAGTCAAAGAGTGGCTACAGTAAGTATCATAAACATTCCTCCCTCATACCGCAAGCCTATCATAAAAGTTCCCTCTCGCCCTGCAGTGGTCCAGTAAATGCTCATGCCGTTGCAAGTTCTTGGGTAGATGAATCTAACTTGCTTAGATGCCGTCTCAATTCATACATAGGTAGCCAAGTGGGCTGGACCAGCACTCGTACAGGCGTATTCAAGCAGGACGAAGGTTCGAGTTGGAGAGCGAACTTGCTTCGTATTGCTTGGTACAAGGCTTGTCCGGAATCCTAGCAGATGTATTGGAACACGGTGAAACGTAGCTCGAGATACAAGGCTGAGGAGTAGCCAGTAGGAATAAAAGATGGCATACGTATCATATGGGTATATCCAGCGACTAAGCATAGTCAAAACATTACCAGTAATGAGAAGTTGACTTGATTCTCATTGCCGGCCGTCGTAGCTACCAAATACAAGCGGCAGCCATGATTCCTGTCGGCCTTGCCTCTCAACTCCATAACGCCTGGCCTTTACTAACGATCACAGACGCTTCCCGGGTACAAAAATGAACAGACAAAGCAAGGCTGCGTCAATGATGAATATCCACATGAGGCACATCAATGAGCGTTGGTGGAGGAGCTTTCTGGAAGGGTATCAGTAGAGATTAGGCAGTGTAGCAGATTGGCGAAGAACTCACCTAACGAATGGCTCCTTTATCCGCGCGAAGCTCATGAAGGTGTATTCGCTGTATCCAATGAGGGCCAGTATAGGATCCAGCATATACTGGTGTGTCGCAAGGAGATATACGCCAACGGTGAAAGGCAGTATAAGCCAAGCTCGCGTGGCTCTGCTCTTGTTCAAGAATATGAGAACAAAAGCCGTCCAGAATGCAGCGAATATGGCGACCAGTCCGACAATCATTCGCAGCATCAGCGAGGGATGCACAAGATTGCCAAGGGCTTTGGCTCGGAGAAAGCCTGGAAAAGCATCACGCTCCATCGCTTGAAAGACGTAGTCCTTGGCCGCGTCGAAAACCTCTGGATCGTCTCTGCCTTCCCTCTCGATGGCGTGCGTGATTTCGTTGAGGATTCCCTGAGGCAAGATGATCTCGCGTTCAGCACCGGGGAGGAGGAAGGTGTATAAGATCTTCTCGGCGGACTGCCGAATATCTGTGCGGGCGACTGTATGCTCCGGGCTGTTGTTGCTGTTGAAAGCGCCTGACGACGGAGATCCATCGGCACCATTCATGAAGCTGGGCCGCGGGAGCTCAGTGTTATTGTTGTGTGAGTTGGATCGGTTGCTACCGGTGCTGTTCTGCGCACTGTGATGGCTGCCATTCTCTCTAAGAAATGCGGACAGTCGCTGGTCTGGTGTTTGTCGCTCTTTCGATTTGTCGCGATATGCGCCGCTTGGCCCCTGCTCTGACGACGTCCGGTCCAGGTTGTCTAAGATTTGTGAGGAGCGTTTCGAGCCGGATTTGTCGAGTTCTGGAGTGGACACGAGCACGGATCTACGGAGTTCGCGGACGTAGTGTCTGCACAGCGACATGTGCTGGGAGACATCGAGCCTGGAAGGATGAAGTCAGCAGATGTCGATGTTTCCGTCGCGCGTTCAATGCCGCTGCTGCCATTGGCATTGCTGCTGCTGCACTGCCACTCACCAGAAGTCCAAGTAATCCACACTGCGCTGCACATCTCGCATGTAAATGTAGAAGGAGAACAAGTCGACCTGCAGGCGTCAATTGCCGTCCCGTGTCCCATGTTCACGGCGCGCAAACATACCGGCGCCAGGCTCCTCCGTGACAGGACTTCGAAGAGGTTTGGCAGACGCTCTCGCGCGGCAACGTCGGGCGTGGGGCTCCGCGCCTCCATAGTGATGGCTGCGAAAGATGCTGCTGTCGTCGTCGTGGTCCGGCGAAGTAGTGATGTTGGCCGTGTGAAAGGGTTGTCTTCTGCGAGGACTTGTCCCAGTCGCGACAACTACGACCAGGATTCCCGCCGCACGCCCCTGTGATTGGTCCTTCCACCTGCGTTTCATTACGGTTCCTGCCGGCTAGAGCCGCAGACTCGTGCCGTGCATGGCGAACTTGATTTCACTGCCAGACGTCACACAGTATTTACCGCGTCTCTATACCCGAAGTGTTTAAAGGCTGTCGCCGGACCTCATCTGCCCGAAAGCAATACTCTCTATACGAGGATTCCTAAGCGTTATATAATTAGAATACTCTATTAGCAACGGAGCTCTATATATACTAGAGGCTTAATAGCTTTACTTAAGCCTATTGTCGCTTCCTATTATTCCTATACCTTCTTTACTAACCTTACTATACCTATTATCGCAATAAACTTTACTTTAACTCGCTATAACTAGGCATCCGAAATAGTAGAATATAGGACTAGTATACCGAAGAACTATATCCTAGCTATAGTCGTAAGCTTAACTTCTATATACTAAGTATAGATTAAATAGCGGCAAAGGTATTCCTATACTTTTAGGTCTACTAAAGCTAAAGCTAAAGCTAAAGCAGATATTAGTAGACGTTACGAGAGGCTCCGAGATTGTTAGGGCTAAAGAGGTTATACGTAATTAGTATATAACTAGGCCGAGTAAAGCTAGGGTCTTAATGCCTTAGGTAGGGCTTAGCGCTTAGCGTTAGGCTAACTCTCCTACCTTACTCTCCTACCTTCCTCCCTCTCCTCCTAGATCCTTATCGAATACTACTTATACCTACTACTACCCTATCTACCTACTAATATAACCCTTCTTATATAGTATTCGATCTATCCTTTAAGGGCAGCAGCTAGATAGTCCTTATTTCAAGCTTTTAGCGGTATAGCTACGAATAAGACTAATCTAACTATATTACGCCCGAAAAACGGGACCTATACGTACTATTCTATCGAAATAACCGTACTAATTATTAAGCAAGGCCTTCTATACGGCCTATTATACTAAGTCAATCGTACTAGACTAATATCTACTAATTCCGCTATATCCGTATCTTAGGGGCTAACAATACATTATTAGTATTACCCCCTATTACAATAGCCGGCTTATTACGAAGTAATAACAACCGTGCTACCGCTAGCAGCGCTAGCAATAACAACGCTAGTAGCACAGTGCCTACTACTAAAGTGCCTACTAAAGCACCTACTAAAGTGCCTCCTACCGAAGAGCCTACTATAGGACCTGCTAAAGAAGAACCTATAATTCTAGGTAACGACCTAGAATTGCCTGTCGACGACATTCTTAACAATATTGTTAACCGTCGATATAGCTAACTAGCCTTTAGCCCCTAACTAGTAGGGAGACTCTAAGAAGCTACCTAAAACAGGCTTACTGCCCTACGTTAAGAACAATAGCTAAAGGATAATCTCCTCGAGATTCGCCGCCTATAGGAAGCCCTAACAACTAATACTAAACCGATAGTAGGGCCTTCCTTACTACCCGTCCCTGTCTAAAAGAAGGATGCTAAGCTTAAGGACTATACTGTATTTAACGGCTCTAGTCGTAAGCAATATAATAATTATATACGCGATTATAAGCTTAACTAACGAAATGCGCTAAGGGCTCTTCTAGACAAATATTTACTAGTTGTCTACGCTATACAGTATATTAATAGCGACCTAAAGCGTATATAGGATAACTATTTCGACTCCCTTAACGATTAGACCGCTATTTAGTAGAAAACCTATAAGACTATTATACTAGACACCCTTAGAAACCCTATACTAAGGCAACAATACGCTTAGGACTAGTACCTTCGAGCTAAACAAAAGACTAATTAATCGGCTCGCTTATTTAAAGCCTATTTAAAGACCCTCGAGGACGACCTTCCGGCTAAAACTAATTCTATATAGATCTCCGAAATACGCCCTAAATTGCGATAGGAATTAGTCCTTAAATTGGACCGCCGCCGTATATTTAAATAGGCTAACCTAATACGCATTTAATTTATAGTCGAGGTAGAAACAGCTAAACGAGCTATCTAGCTCTAGTAACGACTAGAATTAAGGATCCGACCTACTAGCAACCGTAGTAACCGTAGCTGCGGAGGAAATCAAGGTTCCTACTAAGACAATAATACTAACAATAGGAATAGTAACAACGACCGTAGAAGGGGCCGTAGCCGACGGCTATATAGAGGAGGCCGTAATAGGGGCCGTAGAAGGGGCTCGTATCCCTACAATACTAATCGCTTAACTAATAATAGTAGTAATAGTAGCTATAGCAATCCCCTAACCGGGTTGAAGTGCTTTAACTGTAATAGTACTAGCTATCTCCTAGGCTAATGCGACAAACCTAAGGACTAGGCCCGAATCGACCGTACTACCGCTAAATACCGAAAGCACCTTTTAGCCGCTAACGCTACCCCTATCGGTCCCTCTAATTAGTCGAAAAAAGAGTAAGCGCCGCACTAACTGTTAGCCTTATATAGCGTAAGACTATCGACATTGTGCTAGCTATTATACGTACCTATCTTATAGGGGATATATATAGCAATAATTATAAAACTAAGGTTACGCTAGACCTAGGAAATTTAGTTAGCGCCCTTATTAGCTATCGCCTAGCTAAGCAATTAGACCTTCGACAATTGCCTAGGACTAACCTACTAACCCTTGCTTAGTTTAATAACGCTCGGCACTTAACCTATAGAGCCTACTATATCTATATAGCCCTAAGAGACGACCTCGGCAATAAGCGCCTACTAAACTTCCCCGCCTACGTAGTAGATATAGACAACCTATATAGGGGAGCTACTATTATTATTAGCAACCCTATTCTTAAGTACTACGCTATAGCTATAGACTTAGGCATTTAGAAGTAGCGATTTAGAATCGCTCGGAAAGAGGACATTAAATACATTAATATTAGCGAGTGCCCTAACGATATTAGGGTCCTATTTATTAGCAACCTAATACCGGCCTCCGCCTTAGCTAATCCGACTACCGACCTGCTCGGTAGTAATAACGATAAACCTATGCCTCCTAATAGTATAGACCCTAACTAGCTCGCTCGTATACTAGAGCCTATTCGAGAAACCTATATTAACGTATTTAAATACTACCTAGTATCGACATTGCCTATATTTAAGGAGATAGATTATAAGATTAATATTATAGAGGGCAAAGAGGTTCCTTTTAGACTACTCTATAACCTTAGTAAGCGCGAGCTTGCTATATTGCGTAAGTATCTAGAGGAAAACCTAGCTAATAGGCGTATTCGGTATAGTAATAGCCCTACCGGTGCACCTATCCTATTCGTACTAAAGAAGGATAGCGGCCTACGCCTATATGTCGATTATCGCGGGCTTAATGCCGTTACTATTAAAGACCGCTATCTACTCCCGCTTATTAATAAGACCCTCGATCGCCTTTCTAGTGCCTACTACTATACTATATTAGACATTAAGGACGCCTATTACCGCATCTGTATTCGTAAGGGCGATAAATAGAAGACAGCCTTTCGTACTCGTTATAGCTATTTCGAGTACTTAGTTATGCTATTTAGTCTAGCTAATGCCTCTACAACATTCTAGTCCTATATTAATCGGGCCCTTTCGGGCCTATTAGACTACCTCTATATAGTTTACCTAGATAACATCCTAGTTTATATACACTCCCCTAATATTACGGAGTACTAGGCTATAGTCCGTAAGGTGCTCGATCGCCTACGAGCCTATAGCTTATACTACAAGCCTTCTAAATACACCTTTACTACTAAAAAGGTATTATTCCTTAGCTTCCTCGTATTAACCGAGGGTATTAAGGCTAATCCTAATCGGATTAAAACGATTACTAAATAGCCTATTCCTACGTCTATTAAAGAGCTTTAATTATTCCTCGGTTTTGCTAACTTCTACCGCCGGTTTATTAAAGGCTATTCGAGGTATATAATGCTATTAACTAAGCTTACTAAGACTAAGGCTAATCTATCTAGAGAGTTCAAATAGACTAACAAAGCGTAAGCCGCTTTTAACGGTTTAAAGCAGCGCTTTACTAAAGTCCCCTTATTGTACTATTTCGTACTAAATAGGCAGATCTATATTAAGACTAACGCCTTACAGTTTGCTGTATTAGCTATTATGTTACAACACCCGGACAAGGACTATTATTAGCATCCGATTGCCTTCTTCTCGAGGAAGATAATTAATGCTAAGCGTCGCTACGAGACCTACGAGTAAGAGCTACTAGCTATTATCGAGGCCTTTAAGCATTAGAGGCACTACCTCGATAGGGCTTAATATACAATACAGGTCTATATAGACTATAACAACCTCCGTAGCATTACTAAGGTTACTAGGATTATAGGTCGATAGGCTAGATAGGCCGTCTACCTCGCTAGGTTTGATTTTAATATATTATATCGGCTAGGCGTAAGCAACCCTGCTAATAGCCTATCGAGGCGACCTAATTACGATAGCGAAACCTAACACATTAATTCTTTGTTTCTAACCCTATAGTATAAGATCGCTATAGCCCGTATTGTTAATAAGCAAGCGCAGAATAAGCGGCTTACCGGACTCCGCGACGGCTTAAAGTATATTAATACTCTTACTATATTAATAGTACGTATTAAGGCAAGGGCTAAGGATATAGATAGGAGAAGTTATAATAACTCCCTAGTCGACATCGTAATATATAGTAATAGCGATAGCACTACTGCAGTTAATCCGGCTACTAGTGCTATTAGATATATATAATACGTACCTCGTTTAATAGCGAGGGTGCTATTAAATAACCTTGCAAATAGGGATAGTTAATCGTTTATAGATAAGCTATTACGTACTTAGTAGAGGGACGCCTTTGCTACTAAACGTATCGATAAGCTTATAAGTAGGCGAAAGACTCGAACTAGTAAGAGTAACAATTAGTCGATCGACGACAAAGGTTATTTAAAGTT